CAGACATATAAAGTTAAACTTCTACACTACACCAGTCCGAAATTGTAGACTAATTTGAACCAAGACATGAGAGTGAAATTAAATATTTTTGTTCAGGATGAACTTGTCGCATGCAGTGACACAGATAATGCTGTACCCATATTAATGAATATAAATTTGTAAGGAGAACAGGAACAACATCATCAACAACATCATCAACAACAACATCAACAACAATCATTAGGGCCATTTATCCCCAATTTCACCTTACTAATGTCAGATTTTGATTATGTAGATGTTGAAAATCCATACACAAATTCAACTCTCGTTTAAAAAAACTGTTTCCTTTTTCTTTATCTGCTGACTGCATTGTGTGAAATTTTCGCTGGTCCTGCGGTACTGGCTAGTAGAAATTCATCAGGACCACTAAATGATAAGTTTGCAGTGGTCCTGGTGGCCAGTGAATTTTGTATTGATAGTTTAGTAAATCTACGAATGTTATTTTGGACCAGTGAAGTACAGACAGGACCACTAATTATTGTCCACTCACTGGTCCTGTGGTCTAGTGGGAAATTTTGGATGGTCTCTTTCCCTGCTGACTTCAGGTTTGTTACCTTTGTTTTCAGTATTTTTAATCAGGGTGTCACTGAAATTTATATTAAGGACCCTAATCACTATCTTTAATCGTGTCCTATTTAAAGGTGATATTTTTTTATTATTTTATTTATTTATTTATTATATTTTTTTTTCTTCTCCTATAGTATTGTAGCGCCATGAGCGGGTATTATTAGTACCTGGATGTAGCGCTATATAAATACCCACAATATTATTATTATTCAGAGGCCCAGATAAGCTGCGTATACAGGTAAAATACGCATAGAATTACGCATTGAAAAATAATTGTTGTGTACCAATTACGCATTTAAAATGTTAGATACGCAGAAAGTTTACAACAAATGCGTACGGAATATATTTATAAAAATCGCTTGCGTAATGAAAAAGACATCGATTGCTATCAAGTTGTACTGTTAGTATAGGGCAAGTGTTGTACTGTCAGTATAGGATGAGTGATTTTTTATGAAATCATTTCCATTATTTAAGTTGGTTTTGATTAGGTATGACATAAGGCAGAACATACCTGCTTAGTAAACTTACTCAATGACATATTCTTAGTTGAGTAAAATGACTGAAATACGCACATACTTGAAAGCAGCGGGTAACGGAAAATGAAATACCCACTTAACATTCAAAATACCCACTCCAAAAAATACAGTGGGTACAGTACCCACATGAGCTAAATCTTATCTGGAGCTCTGATTATTATTATATTTCCCTTTTCAGCCCTTATCTTGCTTGACAGTACAAACATTCACGCCTAGATCATCCTTCAGCAGCCACACCCGTATCCGACCCCCTACTCCCCTTCCTAACACACACACACACACACACACTCTCATGCACACTCCCATTATCAATTGGAATACACACACTTTATGAACAGAATATTCCCAAGCCATATGAAGCTTTTTCTCCAATCTAGCCTTTTACTCTCCTTCTGTTGCGTTGTTCTCAATAGATTTTTTCTGATAATCAGGAGAAAAACTGCCTTGTCAGCAGATAAAGACTGAGGGTTTATGGAACCAAGACGTTGGTCTGTCTGACAGCTGATGAGCCCCAAATTCGCCTGGCTTGTGTGACTGAAAACATGTATCCATCTCGCAGTTCAGGAACCATGTCAGATTGTTCCAGAATTTCCATTTTCTTGGAATCTGTCATCCAATGTACCATTTTTATTGCTGCTTTTCAAATGGAGACGTTTTTAGGACTATACTTCCTACACTGCAAGGATGACATCCATTATTATAATTTAAAAATCTTAATTTATTTTATTTATTTATTTTTTGAAAGTAATGTCATACATCCTGCTTTAGGGAGTGATTAAACAGTATAAAACCATTAAGTAGATTCCAGAGTCACTGTTAATATCTTCTTTGGTAAATGTGCTCTCCATCATTGTCTGAGGGGATTGTCTTGTGAGCTTAGAAGTATTTCTTATGTGGAAATGCTCTGTAATGGACCTGACATTTATGTTAAGACTTCCTGCTTGACATCGGTTTAACCCCATATTTAATAACTTGAAATCTTCACATGCAATTTATATATTCTTCAAATCAATTTGCAAATGAAATAAATCCCTTTGAATCTGTTTCTCAGAGATCAAGGACATTCTAAAACCCAAGTTACTTGTTTTCTATTTATCAATTCCATGATTACTGGCAATAGGGATGACACTAATAACTCTTGGAAGAGATATTTTTTCTAATTAGAGTTGATGATTGTAATTTATTTGTTCTGTATTGATGAAACTGAAAACGTTAGCCAAAGGAGCAATTTAAGGATAGAGGATCAGTGGTGATTATATTTATTTATTTATTTATTTATTTATTTATTTATTTATTTATTTATTTATTTATTTATTTATTTATTTATTTATTCACCAATTATTTATTTATTTATTTATATTTATGGTCGTTTGGAGTGAAATGTGTGGCTCAGATGAGTTTACAACATACAGTACAATGTTAGGATTGTTGGTTTATTTCTTTTTAAACTTGAATAGCACTTTAACTTAAGTTGGAGTTCAAAATAATGAAGATCATGAGATGGTCACTAAGCCACGTCAAGGACTGACCGACAGATGGACAAGGTGTTGAACGGATTTCTGGTGACACATGTCATCGTATCCCAATCGCATAGATCAATGCTCATGATGTTGATCACTGGATTGTCTGGTCCTGACTCGACTTGTAATAATAATGATAATAAATTGGACATTTATACAGCGCATCATATCCAGAGATATCCCTGCTCAAGTGTGCTTAGCCATATGCTCTGGAGAAAAGGACAGTTTTCTGCCGAGTTCCTTGATTTGTCTGTAATATTATTGTAGGTAATGCTTCTTATTAAACCCACACAAAGTGAATTAACAAAATGTCTAACTTAGACCTGGGATAGGTTAAGTGGTAAGATTACATTGTGGGATTAAACCTGCTTTCAGGTCCTCTGATATTACCTTTACAAGACCATGTTTCAACCAAAACTGATTGGTCATAACACACCTAAACCTTAATCATTTGATGCCGTCATTATACATGCCACCCAGTAGTCTAAGAACCGTTGAGCAGAATTGTGTCCCTTTGTTGCCAGGATCCTCACAGTTGCTTCATTCTGACCCAAGATTTATTAGCATCATACCAGTGGTTTTCATCAACCTATTTCGAACATTCGGCATTATTTAGTCATCTGAACCTAGTAGACATTGTAAACCTATTTACCAGGATGTGACAGAAATACTATCAAGAACAGCTTCAAACCAACATCATTAAACATGACCGCCCTATTGCTGAGTGAGGCTTTAAACAACTAAAATATATATATAAAAAATCATTAATCCTGAAATTACAGTTTTGAATTCTTCATCAATCAACAGTTAAAGATCAAATCAATAAAATTATATGTATTGGTACTGTATAATGTTGCCAATGGCTTATTCTATAATTATCCCAGCACAAGATTTTATCTGGAGACACAGATTGCCGTGGTAGGTAATCCCATGATGTTGGTGCCATTTATTATCTTCTGTGGTGCGAACAGTGATTGATTTATCGCGGTATTGTGATGCTTGGATTTCCTTGCCATCAACTGCACATTTTTCTGCAACACCGATGAGTATCATTAAGAATGGCTGACAGCGCTGCAGTCGTACAAGGGAGAACGCAGTAAATGTATAAATAATCAATGGTTTCACGTGTGCTGTATGTTAATTAGCTAGGTCAGGAGATACAGTTTCCATGTATCCTTGACTGACTTGCTTCAGTGGTTAAGATACTGTAGCTGGCAAGGTTATGTCCATGGTATAGTCACATGGCGATCATGTGACGAGGTGATTGATCGCTCCAGCAGCGGTGTGCTTAGTGGATGGAATGAGGCCAGGGACACTCCATCATCTCATCTGGGACTGTTTTGCACGGGACTAATTTGACAAACTCTGTTTGTTTTTTATATTTGCTTGATTCTTTAATATTGATTTATTTGTGAATTTTGGAATAAAGCCTTTGAAATATTCATGTATCCATGACAACACATTGCACATATTTTCGCAGTTTTGTGTGGCTGGTACATGCAAACGTGAAATGTTGATTTATGTTGTTGGAGTGCTGCTGTGTGTTATTGAGAATGTGACAGATATTTTTCTTCAGTTTTAATGGTGTTTGATCTGCCCATGTGATCTAGTTAAAGAAAGGATATTTTCAGATTTTAGTTTTATCTAAACGGTTTTACATAATGTGTAAGGAACAAATGTATTAAGGATTACTTTAAGTACTACTTCATGGTATAGCCCATGATGCAGGACATGGTAGGACACATGATGCAGGACGTGATGGGACACACTATGTAGGACACATTATGTAGGACACATTATGTAAGACATGGTAGTACGTGCAGGATGGGGTAGGACACATGATGGGACACGATGCAGGAGATAGTAGGACACATGATGCAGGCTGTGGTAGGACACATGATGCAGGACGTAGTAGGACACATGATGCAGGACATGGTAGAACACATGATGCAGGATGTAGTAGGACACATGATGTAGGACGTGGTAGGACACATGATGCAGGATGTGGTGGTAATATGTAATATGTAAATGGAGGGTATAATATTCACAGGATATCAGGTTTTACCATCCACTGCCTTGTCCCCGTGATGAATGATAATGGCTGATATTGCCAGACATATTTTTAATGACAATTGTATTTTGTTTTGTTCTGTTACGTGTGTTGCATTTGTGTTGGAAACATTAATCCCATCATCATCGCATAAGACTGTTCCTTCAAGGTCACATTCAGCGGACACATGTAGTTCAGTATTGCGTTTCAGTTTGATATTTTCTGACCTACACATTATCAATCAAAGTCATTCATGTCGTAACATTTTTTCCCTTTTTGTTTTTCCAGGGTTCATTTCCAAGAACAGACTTTGCTTTCAAAGTGTACTTTCCGGCCAGCAAGGAGATTCAAGACAGCAAGATACAGGACTAGCAGCACACATCGAGATGGCAAGGTTCAAGATAAGGGACACGTAATTAGAGTTGCACCAAGGTCAATATTCACATCTACAACCAGGTTCTCACAGTAGTAATGAATATTCCTTCAACTTTGGAAAATTACAAAATGGTCAAAATAGTGTTAATTTTGAATAATCAAACCATTTGGAAAATCTTGCCACATGTTCAGGGATTTATTTAGGACTAATTGCCTTTGGCTGTCAAAATTTGGAAAATATTGTGATCAAGAACTGGAATGTTTTTAAGATTCCAATTTTCAAAAATTCTGAGAAATGCAGAAATTTTTAAATTCATATTGGGAATGTTTCCTGTCATTTGCTGTAGAGTAGGTTTCTATACATCCCTAATATGGTCATGAAATGTCCATTAAAATGTCAATGAAATTGTCCATAGATTTTTTTGGTCATATAATGAAAATTACACCTTGAGCAGTGTAAATTTGACCCGGTATTTAACCCAGTAACAACCCGGGGTGGTACAGTAGGCTCCAGAGCAATGTGTTGGAGTCTCACAACACTGGTCTACGAGTGTGTAAAGGGTTGCAATGTGTTTAAGGTGGAATTGACATTGCAAAATGTGCAGTTTGAACTCTGCCCATTATCAGTCAAGGTGGTAGTGTTTTTTAAAACTTAAGTGTATAGAGGCTCAAGTGAGGATTTTGTCAGTGCTTGTCAATTTGTGTGATGAAAACTGTCTTTAGTTAAACCCACAAGAAAGTGGTTATTGTTGACCTTGACCTTTGGTGCCCAAGGTGACCTGTCATCTCGATGTTGATTTTGTCCTGCTTTTGTAATATAATTGTATATTCCTAGAGGACCCTAAACATTTCCCTTATTTATTATCATGGCTTCATTATGTTTAAGTATCTGCCAAAACACAGAGAACAAAATTCAAAACCTACCATGTTTACAATCAAGTGTTACATGTATAAACTTTAAGTGTACAGAATTATATTTATGGAATAGCTCTCTTACCCATGTTACTAAGTATTTAAACAAATAGTTTTAAGTGCTTTGGTGAGAGCAGAGGATTGTACAAACATTCTCCTTTGTTATTTACAATTGTCCTTTGGGATGGTTGAGTATGTTGTAGATGGTGTTTTCAGTATTTCCTAGTATTTAGTTAAGAATGACAAGATCAGATTTGTCACAGCCTACATGCTGAACACTGTCTACGCATCGGATAAAAAAAACATAGGAAAAAATATGAAAAAAGCAACAAAATTCTGCATACTTTTGAAGTCAAGGCTTCACCAAGGTTATGGCTTGAAATTTAAGCTGTTATTTCACATAATGGATTTTTACAGCAAAAATGACTCCCATTTGACATACCTTAACTACTTTTTTGTTGTTAATTTCTCTGTAATCGTGGTGTCCTTCGAGTTGGATTTCATCAAAATGTAAACTGTTTAGTGATTTTTAGAGCAATAGTTATCACAAAGCATAAAATAATGTATCAGTTGATGAAACATGAATTTCTCAAAACATTAGAACACCACCACAAGAATACTTGGTGTTTTTACTGTCAGATTTGAAGTCTATTGTCATGACACGTGTGAATCTTTCTGTATCATTGTAAGAGAGAAATTGGCAATCTCTGAATTGGTTTATTAGGAATATTGGATGTATTCAACGATGCCATTTGGGTTATTCTGATCATGTAATTCCCAATAATAAAAACACTGACATGCAGATTTTCTGCAGGATAATTTTGTACAATACAATCTGTGCCTTGACAGCGAGAGAAGTCGGACTTGACATTACTCCTAGTCTGTATTTGTATCTGGTGAATGTCAAACCAGATATTTTTGTCTTTTTCTGCAACATTTGATTTTCTAATGATAATCTGTACAAAGACACTACTTTTCAACTTAGATTAACAGTTTCCATTCACCAGTAAGTTAAAAATATATGGAGGAGGGGTGATTCAGATTATAGGAGATAAAACATCACATTTTCAGCTTCCAGTGCAGTCCAGTTTCATCTGGAATGAACCAGTTTCTACCCATATTGACTGCTACTTGTCATCTATTCACATGCATGGGCTAAACCGCTGGTTGTGTTCAGGCATGGGTGTGGGCTAGCTTTTTCCACTGCCTTCAATCTTGCACTTTTCATTGTTTTGAATAGTTGTCCATTTTTCCAGTTTCCTGAAAGAAGTATAACTGGCATGAATAACTTCAACTGTTAATGACTTTATCAACTTGTTGCCATATGTTAACATCTGACACCTTGCTAGCTTGTCCTGAATTAATGAGTATACATGTTTGTTAGGCATTCGAAGCATTTCATATCAACTGAATCATTTTGGGTACATATGGTTTCTTTATAACATGGAATTTTTTAATGGACTGTGGTTTTTTGGTAAGAAGGAATTATAGGTAGCAAATCAGCACTGCTTGCAACAGTGGCATCCAATCTGCCTCGAATCGGCTTGTGCTTGTGTGCATAATTTTCTGTAGTATATTGTGAGAGGCAAAGACGTTTGCAACAAATGCACATTTCTCCATTGCTGAGCACTAAGCTCATCTTGAGACTTCGTTTTGTACAGGGTTGTATGCAGGTCTATTTTTAGTCATGGGGAAATTATTTATTTTATTTCTGTATATTACTGAATTGATTACTTGTCTCTATTTTTTATGTTTTTCAATGTCTAAATAAATAAAACAACAAATATCATTGTTTTCCTTATTTATTGTTTAATCGACCTGTGGTTAGCCGAGTTGATGCAGTGTTTGCCTGGCAGTCAGAAGGTTCAATTTCAATTCCACATTTAGTCAATCATGTGTGGAGTTCTGGGTTAGAACCGATCCCCAGCAGCCTGTGATGGTTGTATGAGGTGGTTAAGTGGATCGGGTGGTCAGATTTGGTGACTACGTTGATGGTTTGTCATCATTTTCTGACGGACCCCTGAAGATCTGGGTTAGAATTGGTCTTCAGAAACCCATGTTTGTCATAAGAGGCGACCAACAGGATCGTGTGGTCATCCTCACTGACTTTGCTGACACGTCATTGTATCCCAATTGCGTAGATCGATGCTCATGTCAGCCTCATGATATTGATCACTGGATTGTCCTGTCCTGACTCTTTATTTACAGACTGCCGCCATATAGTTGGAATATTGCTGAGTGTGGCATTATACAACAACCAGTCAATCATTCTCTGACGGTGTTGATCTTTGTTAACAATATCAGTATCACTGGAATGTCAGGACTCATTAATTTACAGGCCAGTAAAACAGCTGGAATATTAAGCAAAAAAACGAAACACATTCATGAGAACAGTTGTTGGTTTATGCCACTGGTTGTAAGTGGGAATGCTGTTGTGGTTCTTATCATCACCTATATTTAATGGGTTTGCATACAGAATGATCCTCCAGAGTGAACAGGAGGTGTCCTGTTGACAGTCGGCCAAGTAAATAAGGGCATGTTTGACTGATGGAGTGAGTTTAGTTTTACGCTGCATTTAGCAATATTCCAACAATATCACAGCGGGGGACACCAGAAATGGGCTTCACACATTGTACCCATGATGGGAATCTAACCCGGGTCTTCAGCGTCTTTGGCTACCCCACCGTCCCTTGCCTGATGGAGGTGAGGTGAGGTGAAATTGGGTTTATCGTCGTGCTTGAGAATATTTCGCTCATATGACGACGTGCATGCGTGTGTATGTGCGGCTGCTTGTACTAGCCCAGACTGAAGCTGGTTTTATAGTGCTAGCCACTGAGATACCATGCCGCAGTGAAGCATGAATACCCCACTCAGACCCCACCCCATTATACTGACTCCGAGCCGACCAGTCCTTGTTGTACCCATTAATGCCGAGCGCCAGGCAGGGACCAACAAGTACCACATTTTAACGTCTTTTGGTATGACACGGTCAGGGATCGAACCCGCGACCTTCCGCTCTCCGGGTGGACGCTCTAACCACTACACCACGGAGGCGGTTTTGCCTGATAGAAGGCCAATGACCTGTTAACATACCTCTATGGCATGAGTCTATAAAACCAGCATAAGTTGAGATTCTGCAAAAGTGAGTATGGTTTTACGCTGCTTTTAGCACATTCCAACAATATCATGGCAGGGGACACCAGAAGTGGGATTCACACATTGTACCCATGTGGGGAATCGTCAGGCTTTTGCCTGTTCACAAAACAACTCTGCACGACAAACTGACAGTCCTTTGACGACAGGGTCAACTGTGCCCCCATCACGCTATGAAGAGACATAAGCCATCTAGGGGAAACTGGCCTTCACCCATCATACCAACCAATCCAGATGTTAGAATCTTGTTACAAAAATCACTTGATCTGTCCACTGGGTGAGTGAGTGAATTGGGTTTCAGGCCTTCTTTTTTTGGCTTCACACTAATGGGTTTCACAAACTGTACCCATGTGGGTAATCCAACCGGGTCCTTTGATGAGTGAACGCTTTAACCACTCGGGTACCCAACCGCTCCTGGATCTGTCGATGACTCCCCTCAGGGCCCAGATAAGATCCAGTGTTGCAAGTCATGCTTCAACACTTTCAAGTTAACAAAGTCATTGTCTGAAATTATAGAATCATTATCAAGGGCTTCTTTGCCTGTTAGGTAATGCTTACGACAGAATAGATCAAGTCTTACATCAAAGCTGCATATTCAAAGACACACCGTGAACAACCACAATGAACTTGTAGAAATATTGATTTTCGTCCTGCTGAAATTGTTCAAAGAATTCCCTGTATTCTTGATTATATTAGGGATTCTGTGATGTTCTATCACTCATGTAAAAGTGGAAAGCCTGCATCTTGATGGTACTTGAAAAAAACATTTTGTCACCCACTTTCATAATTAATCAATGTATGGATGCTCAAAGACCCCAAGCTGTTTAAATCGATTCACATATATAAGAAGAGTCAACTTAGTTTTGAACAAAAAAGAACATATTTTCTTAACTGATGTCCCAGCAGTTAATCACTAGACAAATATCTAATGACATAAATGTAATTGCATGAATAAGAATTTCTAAGAATGCAAAATAATATAAACATCCAGTTCTGGTTCCAACTGATGGCAATACACTTGGCATGTAGACCATGCCATTTAGTGATCAATGGACAAAGCACTTTAGCTATGTGGTGATCAGGTTGGGGCACTGTTTGTTATGAAATTGCCAGGCAGCTGGTCTCCATCAAATAGACCTATGTTACTAATGAGCAGTGTCAGTCTCCAGAAGAAGTCCATATGATGATACAAGAAGCTTTGATGAATGGGTTGTGTGTCATTGATGCTTCTTGGTTAGAAAACTTGTGCATGTGTGTTTTCAAGTCACATGGTCCTGCTACAGTCTGTTTACCTTCCTAGGTTATCCAGACAATAAATTATAAATACTCTGGACTCTCGCCAAATTTAAGTAAAGAATTCCTGTACCATGTGCTGAAAGATGGATAACCAGCTCCAGCACATTCAACCATAGCATGGAGATATCAGCACATTCAACCATAGCATGGAGACATCAGCACATTCAACCATAGCATGGAGATATCAGCACATTCAACCATAGCATGGAGATATCAGCACATTCAACCATAGCATGGAGATATCAGCACATTCAACCATAGCATGGAGATATCAGCACATTCAACCATAGCATGGAGATATCAGCACATTCAACCATAGCATGGAGATATCAGCACATTCAACCATAGCATGGGGCATCAGCACATTCAACCATAGCATGGGGCATCAGCACATTCAACCATAGCATGGGGATATCAGCACATTCAACCATAGCATGGAGATATCAGCACATTCAACCATAGCATGGGGGCATCAGCACATTCAACCATAGCATGGAACCATAGCATGGGAGATCAGCACATTCAACCATAGCATGGGGACATCAGCACATTCAACCATAGCATGGAGATATCATCAGCACATTCAACCATAGCATGGGGGCATCAGCACATTCAACCATAACCATAGCATGGAATAGGGGGCACATTCAACCATAGCATGGGGATCAGCACCATGGAGAATCAGCACATTCAACATCAGCACATTCAACCATAGCATGGAGATATCAGCACATTCAACCATAGCATGGGCACATTCAACCATAGCATGGAGATATCAGCACATTCAACCATAGCATGGAGATATCAGCACATTCAACCATAGCATGGAGATATCAGCACATTCAACCATAGCATGGAGATATCAAACCATAGCATGGAGAGCTATATGGCTAAATAATCGAGTCACCAGCACAGTGATTCAATCATGCGCATGGAGGAATCATGAGTGTCAACCATAGTCAGCACAGCCTGACCACATGGAGATATCAGCACATTCCTGTGTTATCCAATTTCTAACCCGGAGCATGGAGATATCAGCACATTCAACCATAGCATGGGGATATCAGAGATATCAACCATAGCATGGGGGCATTCAATTCAACCATAGCATGGAGATATCAGCACATTCAACCATAGCATGGAGGCATATTCAGCATACACCATAGCATGGAGGCACCAGCACATTCAACCATAGCATGGGGCATCAGCACATCAGCACATAGAACCATAGCATGGCACATATCCATATTCAACCATAGCATGGGGATATCAGCACATTCAACCATAGCATGGACATTCATGGGGAGACATATCAGCACATTCAACCATAGCATGGGGGCATCAGCACATTCAACCATAGCATGGGGGCATCAGCACATTCAACCATAGCATGGGGCATCAGCACATTCAACCATAGCATGGGGGCATCAGCACATTCAACCATAGCATGGGGGCATCAGCACATTCAACCATAGCATGGGGCATCAGCACATTCAACCAACCATAGAATGGGGGCATCAGCACATTCAACCATAGCATGGGGGCATCAGCACATTCAACCATAGAATGGGGGCATCAGCACATTCAACCATAGCATGGGGGCATCAGCACATTCAACCATAGCAATGGGGGCATCAGCACATTCAACCATAGCATGGGGGCATCAGCACATTCAACCATAGAGGGGCACATTAGGGCATTCAACCATTCAACCATATATCAATATACATTCAACCATTGGGGCAGCCTTGCCCTCAGCACAGTGTTATTAGCACATACCGACTCTCTGTGGCATCCCAAGATATAAAGGAAATTCTTTTGTTCTTGCTAGTACAATTGTAATAGTCTCTTGTGACTTAGGCTCCTCGTTGACTACTTCCCCAAAACCAGCACGTCATTAGGAAGGTTTTGAAGATTAGAACCACACTGTACCATAATAATAGCATGGGGCTAAGGCACATTCTACCTTTTCATAATGCATCTACTACGTCTTATGCCAGAGTGAGCACTATGATAGTACCGAGATCTTGAAGACCAACCCAGGTCTGAAAATGTAACTGACTTAATCTTTGTGTTGATCATGAAGAGCATTAGACTGAAGAGCAATATTCCAGCAACATCAGGCGGGGAACACCAAAATGGGCTTCACACATTGACCCATGTAATCTTTGTGTTGATCATGAAGAGCATTAGAAGCTCTCCCAGATGGTAATTGTACTGAATAGTCTCCTTAGTTGCTGGGAAGAGCTTGTCTGATTGTTACTTAGGCAAGTTTGATCTACAAGTAAAGCTGATCAGATGAAGGTTTTGGAAGACAGTGTGTAAGCAAACAGTA